CAATGGGGGGGAGGGGTGCCCTGCATGCAATATGACCGTTGAATTAGCAAATATAATTGTTTCAACGTCTGTATAAAATAAATAAACAGAATAAAACACGTCTCACGTATGACACCCCAAACAGAGAATAAAATAATGACTCTTTATGAATTTTCCACACACAACCACGAATAGAGAACAACAAAAGCAGTCTGTTAGTCACGCTGCTAGTTACTTGATTTGCTGCTTTGACCATCTTGCAAGCTCCAGTCATAGCAAAGAACCTAATGACATATGAAGGAAAACTTCTGACATTACATACAGCGAGAAATGGCAAATGTCTAAAAAATACTCACGTTTCTGACCATAACGTTGGCAATGACCTTGAGATGGCGGACGATTGCAGAAAAGTAGCGGAAGCCGGGCTTGTTCTGGTTGGCTTTCAGTTTGTTCATCATGCTGGTCAAAGAGGTGGCCGCTCCGAGCCTCACACTGTCGCCGTTCACCTGAGACAAACATCATAAGTGAAACGTGCTGATAAACTAAGTTATTTCTCAGATTCAAGTCATATAGAAATAGATACATCACGTTTATAGGTGAAGTTTTTACAGTTTATAAGTATGAAATAATAAAAGGTATGTTATAGTTAGAGAATATGGCATCAACAGAAATTGTACAAATTTGATCCGAGTGTCGATTTTTGGCCAATATCTCCATTTGTAGATTGCAAGAAGTAACTCATTTAGTCAGCACACCTCACATATTGAGACATTCTGTGGACACTGCTAATACGTCTCTCGACGCAGTGGAATCAGGCGCTCGTCAGTTTTGGGGCATATATGAAGTTATTGGTTTAATCATAAAGCTTGTTTATTTGTCTTTCTATTGGTGAAAATTTTACCCATCTATCTTGAATAGAAGTCGAGATATTTCGGATTGAAGGAGGTGGGGTAATCTGTTGTCTGAGGTAAAATTATCGAGAAAATGGCCGTCACAGTTTGGGAACTTCTATAGCTTGAAAGCCCATGAAAACTGAAAATTTAACATATTTTGTGCCACTGATCAATGTTTTTCAGTAAAATTCACATGGAAACGTATTTTTATATGGACATATATAAGGTGTTGAGCCAAAAAACAAAAATGGTCAAGCACGAGGAAAAATGCTGGTTTCTTCAATTTCATTATTTGATGGGTGCCTGATTTCAACTCGTTGCCTCACATATTCTCTTGACAAAAACTTATAATATTAATGATAAATAATAATAAATTATATTTATACTGTATTTTGTCTTTAGAAAAGTACTACATGCACTTTACAACAGTACAAAGAACATAGTTCCAATAATTATCATTTCACTCCCACTCTCTCTCTTTCACTCTCTTTCGCTCTCTCTCTCTCTGTTTCTTCCCACACAATCTGTCTACAGTTGTATGTATATTACATTGATAAAGACAGTGAGGAAACTAAAAATACAAAACCCAAGCGAGGACAAAAACCTGTTAATTCTCGCCACTTTTGTCCAAATATCTGACTGACTCTAATTGGTTTACTCTCCCATCAACATAATGTACTTTTCACGAAAACAGTGAAGGCAGTAAACTATGGTCAATTACTTTGCCTACAACAAGCACATAGTTAGCATGTTGGTGATATCAGCAACCACAATCATAACTTAACAGGTTAATATGTAATGACATGACGAACCAGAACTGTTTAAAACAGAGACTAAAGGAAATAGATGTACGTCTGCAAAATGAGAGTTATGATGACTTTGAAGATGATTATGTCATTACATTTATTTATATAAAATAAAGATATAGCCTACCTGGTATGAGAATATATACTTGACCCTGTGAAGGTCAACATAGACATCAAAATGTCCTTCATTCTTGAAAATTCCTGAAAAACAACAAATAAAATGCAGTGTTAGGGGAAGGAGACAGCACATTGAGCATTTCAACAGACAAATATTTTTAAGACAAGGTAAGACAAGGTAAGACAAGATAAGATAAGATAAGGCAAGATAAGATAAATATTATAATATACGATTCTTTATTATCCCAGAGGAAAACTTTTCTTGGCTGTACAGGACCGTAAAACACATACAGGTATACATAAAAATTTAAATCATATATTACTCTCTTTAAAATTCAGTATGAAAAGAAAAGTAAAGCTGATTAAATGTGCATATCACATCAGATGCATCATTCAACCACATGCAGGAATTGAATTACAAGACCTTCAGAGTTCTTTAAGGCATTGTGTAATCTGAAACCAGTAAGCTTTTACTGAGTGAAAAGAAGAATTTGTGAAGCATGCTGACAAACTGAGTCACTTCTCGGATTCAAGTTTTATGGAAATAGATCAGGCTTATAGATGAAGTTTTTACAGTTTATAAGTATGAAATAATAAAAGGCATGTATATATAGTTAGAGAATATGGCATCAATAGAAATTGTACAAATTTGATCCTAGTGTTGATTTTTGGCCAACGTTTCCATTTGTGGATTGCGAGAAGTAACTCATGTTGTCTGCACGCCACACATTTCATGACACCAAACTTGAAGGACACTTTATGTCCAATGTCTCAGAGAAAAACTGTGCAAGTCTCAAGTAAGGCTACATTTGTTTCAAATGAAGGCGTTTTTACCCTCCTTTGACACAGTTTAACCCTTCCAGGCCCATGCGCATGTATTTTCACCAGCGTTTGTACATCCCACCGTCCCAAGAGTGTATATTCTCAGTTCTGGGAGGTGCTGTTAGCACATTTTTTGAAATGGCAGAGAACGTAATTAAACTTTAATTTTCATATTATTAGTTCTTTTACCTTTAAACATTGTTATCTTAATTAGCGAGGCAGCGTGGTGGAATCAGGCTCTCGGCAATTTTTGGGCACATTGAGTTATTGGTATCATCTTAAAGCTTGTTCACTTGTCTTGCTTTCAATGAAAAAAGACCCATCCATCTTCAATAGAAGAGGAGATATTTTTGATTGAAGGAGGTGGGGGTCACCTGATTTAAGAGGTAAAATTAGCGAGAAAATGGCCGCCAAAGCTTGGTAAATTCCAAAGCCGGAGAGTCCATGGAAACTGTAAATTTATATTTTTGTGCCTTTAATCAACGTTTTCAGTGAAATCCTCAAAGGAATGTGTTCGTAAATAGGACTTAAAAGGTGTTGAGCCAAAAAACAAAAATTTGATAAAAATTGCTAAGCAGGGAGAAAACTGCTGTTTTCTTCGATTTCATTATTTTGACGAGAGCCTGATTCCACCACGCTGCCTCACTTATGTTATTATCGAAAACTCAGTACAAAGATACTACATCACTTTTTAGAAAGCATGCCTCTTTTTCTGAACTACTGCTGTATTGGCTGGGACTGGGGTCAGGGAGTGCACAAAAGTGGCTGAGGCAGGAAGGGTTAAATCATTTAGAAAACGTGCTACCGACCTGCCTGTTGAGGCCACACTGGGCTGAGACAAATGTAACAACCCGGCAGAAAAACTCAGATACGTTATGAAACTTTTCTCCCCACTTGGGAATCAAACTCAAATCTCCTGCATGCGACAGCAAAGTGCCTAATCACTACACCCCCAGATGCTGGAACTACATTATCATTGTTATTTCCCCTGTGCTGTAGATGAGTGAGTCGTATCATCCTCTTGTGTACACTTATTGTACTTCAAGAGCAAGTCCCACTTCCCAGTCAAAAGTTGACCCTTCTGTCCCATTCACGTTACATTTCCTCACACGCCGCTGGTCACTTCAAGCCCACTCAGGTGTTTTTATCGTTATCCATCCACTTGTCTCTGAAAAATGTTCTACATGTTATCTCTTTACACTAAAATAAAAAAAGCAGTACGGAAAAACTGACAGACACAATCAGTAGCCTACTGGCTGGGCCTGAGGGGTTAAGGACTCCAACACTACCTGGGCCCCAGGAAAGTGAGGGTTAAAAATAGCCCAGGGCTGTAAGGGTTTAAATAGCCCAGGGCTGTAAGGGTTTAAATAGCCCAGGGCTGTAAGGGTTAATGTGTGATTTTCTGTGCTTTATACATCCCCTTACGGCCAGCATTAACTATGTTCCTGCCTTTAAGCAACTCAGATTTTCTAAATACGTTCATGATTCAGTCAACACTGTCTTATACTGGTGCCAAATGGGGGATCGGGTCGGGGCGGTTTGCAAGCCAGACTGAGGGCTCAAAGCGGCTATCGTGGCACAAGCCGATCACACCCGACTTGTCGCCTCAAAAACAAACGCGTTTATTTTCAGGTAACGAATCCAAACTGGTGGAAAAATGCTGTTTCTCTGATTTCATTGTTTTCACGAGCTTCTGATTTCGCCTCGCTGCCTCACATATAACGTAAAACGTAAGAACGCCAAAGTGTTTTCAATGTTCCCCAAAGCCCACTGAAAAGACAAATTTCAATTATATAATTTGTGAGGTGAAACAAAAAAAAAACTATAGCAAGGGAAATAGGAAATGATAGTGAAAAGATGCAAGAAAACATCCCTGGTTGTTGATTGGCCTATCAAAGATGTGAGAGTACACCTACCTGCTGCGGTGTTGCCAAAAATCAGTTTCACTTTTTTGTCTTTCTGAGCCCGGAGAATAGTCCCAAGTTCCTCCAGAGACGTCGGTCTACAGGGGAAAAAAAACAAACAAAAAAAGCAGCACTTACTTCAGGGTCTGGTGCAGAACTTACTGATGTTATTGTTGGATATTTTTGTATACCACTACAAGAATATGTATGTACAGGCCTACACACATGCATGCAAACACACATGTGCACATATACACACACACATACACATACACATGCACACATACTCACATACATACAATACATACACACACACTTACAGACACACACACACACACACACACACACACACACACACACACACACACACAAACAGATCCTCACGCACATACACACACACACACACACACATACATGCACACACACATACACACACATTTCATACATGCTTACACACAGACAAGCACTCAAACAATTAATTAAATAATATAACTAACCAGGTACATACACATGGAAAGAGAGAGAGAGTTAAGGAAGAGGGGGATAGACAGAAAGAGAGATAGGGGGAGAGAGAAAGCAAGGGAAAGAGAGAGAGAGAGAGAGATAGACACACACAGAGACAGAGAGACAGAGATACAGAGATACAGAGAGAT